CTCCTCATTCTATATTTCTTTAAAAAAAATCTTTGATCCTTAGCTCTCAATTGTCCTCCAGAAAGTTTGTATTACTTTACATTCCCACTTGCAGAATTATGAAATGACCATTTTTCTCAAGGCAGAAACTTTAAAAAAAATTTCTGCAGTTTGATTCTTAACATACGAACGGATGGACTAAAAAGTAAAGTGGAAAGTGATCACTAGTTAGTTTATTCAGCATCTCTCTCATACAGAGAGAAGATTAGTTCAAAGGTCTATGCTGAAAGCACGGATTGCTCTTTATTTTTTAATTACTTACTATGGATCCTGCCTTGTGCCAAAAGGGATTTAAAAATGATTTACTAAATAAATAATACTCAACAAGGTAAGTTCAAAGTGTTGCAAAAGAAGAAACAAAGTGTAGGGCATCAGGGAGTAGGCTCCCCAGCCTCGCCTTGGATGATGCTTGTTAGCAGGTCTGTGCTCTGGGAAAGACGCCTGCGGATGTCACCTTCCGCTGGAGGTCATGTAGGAGTCCCTGGAATACTTCAGGAAGTTGAAATTTTCTCTCTCGTGAACTTTCAAACTTGTTTCTAAATAGCAGCTTCTCTTTTAACTAGTAACTCAATTCTCTGTCCCACTGAAGGAGGGAGTAATTTATGACTATGTGTGGAAAAAAGGGTAATTTTCAATTCAAACCTTACTGAATAATTGCAAAATTCCTTTCCTACACTATTGACCAGAGTTACTCTTGACTGAAACTCAGTAGCATTATGTCTTTTCATTGCTACTTTTCAAATTGTGTGTGTGTGTGTGTGTGTGTGTGTGTGTATAGATCTATCTTTACGCAGAGATTGAAGTGAGGAATTTAAAATGTGAGACTCAGAAATGAAAAAAAAGTTGAGAACATAGAAACGCCATTAGGGTAATAAATCAGCATGTGAAGAACCATATCATAAAATGAACTTTTTATTTTCTAACAAAATAAATTTTAAGGTAAGCATGTTTCACTGCAGATTCACATTAGAACAAGAAACAAAGAAGAAGAAAAATGCTTATATATTATATGAAAAATCTAAGGATGATTTAAAAAGAAAAGAGAAACAATACAATGAGCAAGTTTCCGTGAACCAACAACTCGAAATCACTGCCCGAGCACTAGAATGCGAACTGAAGAGCATAAGGAATAAACCAAATCAGGTAAATTAGTCTTAATGTGAAAATCTCGTATCTCTAACACTGTTTCATCAATATTATTTATAATATTCTTTTGACTTAATCTATTATTTTCATTTAAAACAAATAAAAGTTATCTCATTCTAAATATGAACCATGACATTTAGAGCTTAACTTACTAATTTCTTGGTGTTCTCGGCATCTAACAGATGCTCTGTGTCTTTCCTGAATGAAGGAATGGAAGTTAAATAGAGCTTAATCATTAACATAAGGATTGACGGTTTTGGTCCATTCAACAAAATAACAAGTCTAATTCAAATCCATGTGTGAATTTTGGCTTTTTGAAGTTAAAATCCAGCCTAAGTTGCCTTGAGACTATGATGGAACTGGTTAAATGCCTTATAAAGAAATTTTCTTTCACTGGGATTTCAAAATTTGTAGATACTGACAGGCATATGCAGAATAGATAAACAAGATTATACTGTATAGCACAGGGAAATATATATAAGATCTTGTGGTAGCTGACAACAAAAAAGTTAACAATGAATATATATATGTTCATGTAAAACTGAAAAATTGTGCTCTACACTGGAATTTGACACAACATTGTAAAATGACTATAACTCAATTTAAAAAGTGTGAAAAAACTTTTTCTTTCACAATACTACATTCCTTGTGTTTTTGCTCTGTGATGAATTTAGCTGTCATGTATATTAGAATTTGAGTTATTTCTGTGCATTAGAGATCCCTGTGCTTAGAAAGGCTGCTTCTTTTTAACAGGTTTAAAATTTTTTTTTTAAAGATTCCCCTCCTAAGCTTTTTTTGGACTTTTTTTCATAGTATAAAACCCAAAACCTAATGAACTATGTCTCCAGGTTTCAGAAGAGCGAAATGATGCTCAGAGACAACTTTCTCGAGAGCAGAATGCCAGAGTAATACAAGATGAAATCCTGGCCCATCGTCTTTCCCAACAAAAGGAGACAGAAAAGTCTAATAAGAAAGTGAATGCCGAGGTATTTTCTTTAGTCATCTTCAAACGTGTGTGTGTATGAATTTGTATACTTACGTAGTTTAAAAACCAATACTGTAGGTACAGAGAGTATAGAGGGTTTTAAAAGCCTATGTATGTAAATGTATTTTCTGGAGGTTTCATTTCTGGCCCATTGGAGAAAGCAATGTTTTGAATTCAAATCCATTTGCCGGCAACAGTGACGTAGTAACATTCACAATGGCCTCATCCAAGGAGGGGCTGTTAATATTGTCCATAGGAATCGATGAACTTTCCATTATTTCAAAACTGTTGCTACTAACGGCAGGCATTCTAGTTTCTGGCAGTGATCTCACTCCTTTGATAGACGAATGGAGAGGTTACTTTATCATTTCCACTGATGGTA